GTCTGCATGGACGCCAAACACCACAAGACAAAGCCAGGCCCTGAGGACAAGCTGCATGGCCAGGTCTCATTGAAGTGTGGCTGTGGTTGGGGAGGGGACTGTTCTGACAGGGAAGAGGACCTGAGGGTGGTGCGGGAAGGGTTGAGGGGCCAGACACCCCATGTTCTGATTACTGCTGAGAAGGTAAAGGTCGGGAGAGGTTTAGGAGATTTTCAGGATGACCTCCTCAGAACAGGATACCATGTCAGCAATCACATGCAATGATCATTTACTGAGTACCTACCTCCCAGGTGCCATGTGCTTTCTGTCCATGATCTCATTTGTGCGGTGGTCCTCTGAGGTAGGCAGATGACATTTTCCTCATGACACAAATGTGGAAACTGAGGTCCAGGGGAGCCTATGGACACACAGAGGACCTGGACATGACTAGCCCTCATGGTGGGGTAGGACGGGCGGACACCTCCAGGGGTTTGGGGGAGGATGGTTTTCCTACTCTGACTATGTGCCCGTCCCATGGAGTGCTAGGGGCAAAGGAGAAGGCCTCTATGACTGCGACACAGGACAGAGGTGCAGTACCCTCACACATTCTATAAAAAATTATGCCACTTGGTTACATCCCTATTTGTTTCCACAGTTCCTTTTTAGAAAAAAATATTTTTTAGACTTTCTTTTCTATCCTGGAATGAAGTGCAAAGCTACTAGAATTTATTTGCACATTTAATTTAAAAATATCAATGTCATTGCAATTAGACAAGAAGAAGAAAAGGCATCCAAATTGGAAAAGAAAAGTAAAACTGTCCTTATTTGTAGATGACATGATATTATACGTAAAAAACCCTAAAGACTCCATCAAAAAACTACTAGACTTAATAAATGAATTCGGCAATGTAGCAGGATACAAAATTAACGCCAAGAAATCTATGGCATTTCTATACACCAATAGTGAACTTACAATAAGAGAGACTAAAAAACAATCCCATTTACCATTGCACCAAAAAAAATTAAGATACCTAGAAATAAACTTAACTAAAGAGGTAAAAGACCTCTACTCAGAAAACTACAGGACGTTAAAAAAAGAGATAGAGGAAGACATACACAGATGGAAGAACATACCGTGTTCATGGATTGGTAGAATCAACATCATACTACCCAAAGCAATCTATAGATTCAATGCAATCCCCATTAAAATACCAATGGCATACTGCAAATACCTAGAAGAAACTTTCCAAAAATTCATATGCAA